TAAAAAATTTCACCTTGATATATTTTTACTAAATATTTCAAAATATAAATTTTATCTTTTTAAAAATTCTTTGATTTTTACTTAGTTACATACCTGGTGAATATGACATGGTCAAGCCTTAAAATTAAACATTCTGAGTTTCTTAGTTGTTTGGAACCCATGCTTCCTCCCTTTCTTTTTTTTTTTTTTTTCCTTAAAGATTTATTTATTTATGTGTACAGAGCTGGGGTACAGGCCAGAGGTGTAGGGGCAGTGAGAAGATTCACCAGAGCGAATGGGGAGCAGAACAGGCATTGAAATATACTGCTGATGGGAGCAGCGAGCTGGTCAGGAGAGCTCTGCCATGCCATGTGGGTCACCTCCAGGTCTGGGGATCAAATTCATGCTGAAGTGGCTTTAGCTACTTAGTGCTGCATTTACCTACAGTGCCACCAGGGAGGGCTCTCCTTTATTTCTTTTAACTTCCATCTTTTGGAATGCCAGCCTCAGTAATGTATTTTGGAAGCAAATAATATTTTGCCTGGTTTCACCAGTTTGCAAATGGAAAGGAATTTTTGCACCATGATTAATCATATCCAAAATCCCACCCATCTCACTGATTTGGATGGTTTAAATGATGTGTTGGGGTCTGTTAGTCAATGACATTGAAATTTTGGACTTAGAGTTGATGCTGGCTTGATTAAAACTTTTGGAGATACTGGGGTAGACGGGTTTAAATTGTACAAAGGAAGAGCATGAACTAGGGCTGGGATCAGAGGGAAACTGTTAAGATACGAATTATGTTCCCCACCCCCCAAAAGAGAAATACTGAAGTCCTAACCCCCAGTACCTCAGAATGTGAGTTTATTACCACAGGCAATAATTAAAATGAGATCATGAGGAAGGCCCTAATCTAGTAGGAATGGAAACCTTAAAAAAAGGGAAAATTTGGAAACAGATATGCCTATCAAAAAGATTGTAAGGAAACCAGGGAGATGTCATGTGAAATGAAGACAGAAATCAGGGGGATGAGTCTATATGCCAAGGAATGCTGCAGAGTGTCAGCAATCCATCAAAGTCTACAAAAAAAAAAAAAAAAAGGCTTGATACAGATTTGCTTTCCCCACACTCAGAGTGAAACAACAATGCCGACATCTTGATTCTGGACTCCCAACTTCCAGACCTGACACATTTTATGCTACTTAAATCACTAGTTATGGCTATCCTAGGAAACTAATATAGTGAGTAACAGACTTTGCTAGAAATAGCCCAGACATTTTGAAGGTAAATTGTATCCTCAGTTATAAAATAAGTGACACAGCTTCAACTGAAGTTAATAACATCATATCATGGCTGAAATGAATAGGAGGTATCAGAGTGTTGATGAGGTCACATCCCGATATTTACCAGTCAGTCATCTCCCAAGGAAATGACTAAAAGAACAAAGATCCAGAAACCACGGGATAGGAATAAGTAATAGGACTTCAGACTCAAGAAGTCTGAAGTCTCAGCTCAACTGAGATGGAATGTGTTTTAGAAGTCAGATATCTTCAGGTACTTTGATGCTTTCACATAGATACTTTGAGTTCACAGGTAAAGCGACTTTAGGAGACACAATTTAGGGAATCATTATATGAGTGGTTGTTTATGAGAGCTGGTGAGAGTGCTCAAAAAAAAAAACAGTAAAAGGGGGGAAATCAGAGGACAGTGGGGAGGGTTACTGAACATGGGCAGATTTGCTGATATATAACAGGGCAGAGATGAAGTCTACAAAGAAAGGTGGAGAGAGTGTGACATGGTGGCAGATTTTATATCAATATAGGAAGTAAGAAAGAATATTCTCATTCTCATTTATAAGTAGTTGATTCTCTTTAAAGTCAGAAGCAGATTATTTGTAATTTGGGAAATAGGATGGTAATAAACTCTAAAGTGCCTTCCAGCTTTAGGATTCTGTGGTATGTCAACATTTTAACTCCAAGCAAAGGGGAAGGGTAGATTTCTAGAAATGAAAGTATGTGCTGAAAACATTTAAAGAAAATTATTACTCTGTCAACAAAGACTGGGATAGAATTTTGGGGAAAGAACACATCAGTCAAGGACACCTTTTTCTAAATGCTGTCAGATACCCAGTATGTGTTTAAAAAAAAATTACTCTTCTTTATTACTTGGGCAAAAACAACAAGGACAAATGGTATGACACTGTACACAAATATCTGAAAATTTGGGGAACCATGGCAGAAACACCAGTGTATGGCAGCCCTGAAAATGAGCATCTACTGGGGTGAGGAAATGTCATGGAGAACAAGGACCTTAGGCAATTTGGTAATGTGTTGCATTGCTAGGGAAGAGAAGAAAATGTAAATATGTTCTTGCTGATTTACTGGGTATGGTGCCACAAGAAAAAGAAAGCCTGGGGTCAAGTATGAAAAAGATACTGTCTCTGGTGAATCTTCTTATCCCCCAACAGCTCTGGCCTGCACCCCTGTTCTTGTATGCATAAACAAGTAAGTTTAAATAAAAAGAGTCAGAAGAATTTCATATAGTCATAAGGATGAACTATCCATCCATCCATCCATC